AGGTGTTCAACTACTCACTGATCGCTGAAGTAAAGATAACACCCGAACGATGTATTTTAGCTAACAACTAGTCACTGAAGTGGAGGTGGCTAATGGTGGATCTGAGATGGTTAATAACACGAGGTGCCCAGCTCAGTTAGTTATAACCAATGTAAATGGTCAAGGATTGTGTCTGTCTTCACATTAAAATGAAGAGATTGTAATGGGACATTCTGTGCATGATACATATTGTAAGGATCGGATCGAGAACGAATCTAGTTTTCGGTGTATTGTGTCCTGTCAGTTACTCGGCTACTCGATTAAAACAGTTAAACTACTCAGGAATTGTCTATATCTCCCTGTGTGGCGATTATTACAAGAGCAAGAGGTATTTAAACTGTGGTATAAAATAGAGAGGTTGGTTCTTCTTTATACAAAAACACAATCCACCTTTTTGTTGAGTGTTTTATCCGCATCTCTAAAGATGTAACCACATCCATATGTCTCAGATTTACAGCAGGCATCTGGGACCTTGTCATATCTATGTCCTCCCCAAACAGTAATACGCCAGTCAGCATAGGTGTACACTCCACAACATTTGTACTATTGATCGTAAGTAATAGCAATTAAAACAGTAACTAATGAAAGAAAAAAGTCAGTGTTAAACATCGACTGTATTCCCAGAGCTATGTCTACAGAAAAAACTAAGAAACTATTAGAAAAATGTGAAATTTGTGAATAGATAATTTCAGCAATTAATATGCCATTTTACATACATAGTAAACCGACTGCTTGCATTCTAATCATTAGATAATATACTTTACAGATTTTTGTGTGAAGAATCTTTGATGATACTTTTATTGGTTTAAGTTACTATATTTCTCTGTCAACTGAATACCCAACAAAGAAAACTCCAAAATAATGGAAAGTTTAAAAAACAAACATGCAAATGCTTCATTTGTAATGTTGGTGATAATTAAGAGTACAGAAAACTCTGCTTGCATGAATATGTCAAGCAACATGTCATACAATGAAAGAAATGTCTTATTTGATGTTGATATTGTGGTAAAAAACAAATTGACAGTGGTTGAGGGTGGTCTGTATATCATATCAACAACAATATTTGTAATAACAGTGGTCAAAATTTGTTGCGGACTCAATCCGCTGCACCTCGTAACTTAAATCATTTATTTGTGAAATAGAGCACTGTGAAAGGAAACTGAATATTTGAAGATAACTGACTGTAATAATATTCCTCAGAGTGTAACCATTAGTAAACCTTCACAAATAACACCGGGTTTCTCAATAAAAGAAAAATACAGTACAGAAAAAACAATTGTAATTAAAATGAAGTTTCTCTGACCTTTTTCTGCAAATCATCAACATCCTTCATGGTACCCCCAAACCTTCCATACATTTCAATTTTTTTGTCTAGGTCTGGTTCAAATGTCTTTTCTACCTTAAGGTTAAAGACAGAACAGTGTTTACTCTGGTATTATGCTTTCAAATATCCTACATTGGATTATAATCAACATGTAGACAGTGCAGGACACCAGTTCACTTAAAATATTGCTGAAGTACCTAAATTGGTACGCTCAAGACCTCGAGAAAAAAATCGTTTATTCCTGGAGATTTCGAGAGGGTCAGGTGAAACTGAAAAAGGGTTTGAAAGTACACAAGGGCTAAGAGGGCAGAGCCATGTCTATACCGTTCTCCACCTCTTATTAACCTCATAATATAATTGAGAGAGAGTTGTCGAGTGAATGTTCATGCTTGTTCAGTTTCATGTAAAAGCTAACCCTTCTTTTAAATTTCAAAATTCCCTATAATTCTATACAAAGTTTGGTCCTTGTGCTTTATGCTAATTACACGATTGAGTACACGGTGCAGTTTCAGTGCAACAAATGTACCTGCCTTTTATAATTGATTACAATCAAGTGCTTAAGACTACAAAAGCAACCATCTCTCTAATTAATGTTGCAAAGAATAATTTATCTTTATGATTTGTGGTCCATGGGATGTTAAATGGTGATGCATAATTCAAACGTACTGTTGTTAATCATTTATGTAATGAACAAGATGATTCAGAGATGCAATATGCTCCTCCACCAGTAGACTTCAGTGATGAAAGGAATCTTTCCAAAAATTATGTTTGTCTGGAGATTAATTTACCAAGCAAATCAGCAAAGCAAGCATTTTAATTTTTTTGACTCCAAATGCCAATGTGTCTATAATTATTGAAAATTATCACCCTCATTTGAAAATATTGCATTATTGTCTTGCGGCCCCCCTCCCTCCTCCTACTTACTCTTGCCAACACAACCAACATAAATTGAACAAAAATTAGGTGACTGAGGTCAGTAGTCAATGGAACAGTATGGCAGTGGATACTAAACAACATTCATTAGAGGTATAGTATACTACATGTCAAGCTTAAAGGGATGCATGACTTGTCTCAAAGGCTTGAAATAAGTTAATAATGTAGGAAGTGATTGCCCAATCTTCCGCGCCAGTGGCTAATGTTAAAAACACTCAACATTCCACTGGATGGCTCTTCTTGTCCATTTACTGCTTCCAGATCAAATTGGAATTTGGAATGTTGGTTTTTGTGGAGGGAAGTAAACCAACGGACTCAGAGAAAAACCCTCAGAGCAAGGATGAGAACAAACAACAAACTCAACCTACATGTGACGCCAGGTCTAGGGATCGAACCCAGGCCACAGCAGTGGGAGGCAAACACTCTCACCACAGTGCCATCCCAACTCTTTGTATTTAATGCAAAAAAAAAACAGTTAAATATCGTATTACCTTCTTGAAGTTATCTACACCTACTCCACCACCAATCAATGCCAGAAGAGCTGACACAGCAAGGCAGACTATTAACTGGAAATTATAACAAAACATATTTTAAAATTAGATGGTCAGGTGCAAGTCAGGTTTCAAGTAAAAACACCACTCTGTCTATAACTTAACAGTTAATTAGCTCTTGACTACTCTTGGAGTGTTAATGAATTGTTTTTTGAGTGGAGGTAATGTAATCTTTTGCCACTCATAGGCTAGAAGAGTGAGTTGTTAATGCCAAACATTATTGAAGGCATCTCCTGATCTTGACATTATAAAAGGATTGCAACAATTCCATTAAGGCAAAGTGATCACTGGAAAGTGTCTGTCTCAATCAATAGCAATTCCCCACCGAGAGAAACTGCCAAAATGGTAGCTTGTGAAAATTTATCATTATAATTACATATTCTACTGATAAATTCAGCATGTCCTTACCATAATAATTAATGGTTTCCCAGTGCCATTCTCAACAGTTAAATCTTTACAAGTGAAAAAAACTCCAAGACCTGCCACCAACAAGCTCAAAATCCCAGCAGCAAGAACAATTTTGGGTGCGGTTTGAATACCCACACTTGTTGAAATTTCAGCAGGGATGATTTGTTTATTCATCACCACAACACCAGCCACAAACATGGTCAAACCTGCCAACTAATTATCATAAATATTGTTAACAAAATATAATTATAATCACTTTCGATATGCAGCCTTATTATATAGCTGTGTCTCACAAGGACTGGGAACTACCGAATTCACGAATTTGATTGGCTGAAATCAATATTGAAAGTAGTCTAGATTTTCCCATCTAGACCGGTCTAGAAAAGAAAAGGTACAAAGAAGATTAAAAATTGGCATATAAGACACAGCCACATAATAAACATCTTATTATCCAAGCTAGGTCGGTCTGTATAGGAGAATCCTGACCTCGGTGGCTGGTACAGACCTCACTGCGTTCGGTCTGTATTGGCGACCTCAGTCAAGATTCTCCCATACAGACCTCCCGCTTGGTTAATAAAAACTAAATACAAGCTAGGTAATGATTAATTGTGTGAGACCCCCATTAGGGATACACTTGTTTTAAGCTACTGTGAAAGTGATTCACAGCTACAAACCTCTTTACATGCACTACTTCCAATTACCTTAATGCTGTGAATTTCACAAATTCAAAACAGTTTGAATTTGTTTTTATACATATTGTGATGGGATGAAGATTTTAAAACACCATCTCCACACTATTCTGGATGGCCCAAATGGAAAATCGTTGTTGCAACTTGCAACTGTATCCTGTGATCTCAATTCATGGCCAATTGTGTCCTTGGCTTCGCAAGACACCCTCCTTAAACGTCCGAGTTTGCACTGGCTGTCATTGCCATGGCCAGTATGTAACTATACCAGAAGTATAATTTGTCACCATCATTATCCGTTTCCTTCCCAACATTTAACATTTTCATAAGCTGTTTCTCTAGGGTCAGTTATACATCTAGTTACAGAGAAATATCTAACTGATACTTATGCAAAGACTGGGGGTAAACAAAGAATGCATTTATTCCTAAATGACAAATCAATGCTTACGAGTCCTATTACTGTTGTAAAAGGAATCAGTTTCTTTCCAATAAATTCCTCATGGCAATTGCCTGTGGCCATTGTAATCATATGGATGCACAGCTAGAACCTAGAATAAGAAGAAGAGATAATAAAAATACAATAATGTTCAACTGCAAAATGAAAAAATGGTATCAAGGTGATTTTGTAAACCACACTGCAGGCCTATACTGAGTTTAAGTCTACCGTGGTAACAGTTCAAAAGACACAAAATTGCATACAGTAAAACTCATATTGCAGTGAAGCAAATGAAAGTTTAAAGATAATGATATATAATCCTTAAATTCATGATCAGCAAACAGCTATTTGAAACATTGATTCACTTTGAAATGTGCAATGCATGAGTTGACACAAAGTCCCGCGCAGAAAATGAATTGTTAAAAACATAATTTAGGCATAAATTGAAAGTTAGGTAAGTATGATTATAAGGTTATTATACCTGCGTAAATTATATCTAATTGTAACTAATTGTATTTAAGTTCATTATATCTACGTTACATTCCTTTGTATATTTTTTTCAAAAGCCTCTGTATTTCTAAGCCTTCCTATACTATGGCAACGCGAAACAACATCGATAAACATATACAGGAAGGTCTTCATTGGAAATGAAGTTGATAATTAATAATTAAGTTTACAGGGCGCCCTTCTCGCAAAACAAAAAACAGATTAAATAGAACCCTTGAAAATAATATATTCCGCGTGATAATATGACGCAAAATCCACGATACTTTTGGAGTCGAAGTCAAAGCAGTATATATATAGATCTACTTTCAACCTGTCTGAGTCACTTGATTCACCTCCTTGACGATTTTCGTTAAAAAAAAAATGCAGTGCCTTTTGGACTGTAAAGTGGCGAAATGCATGGGAAGATTACTCGGAACAGAGATTAAACTGTAAGCTTATAGATAAAGCAATAGAAATCTTCGGCTTCCTCGACAAGAACGAAACCATCAGAAGGCATGATCTTGATTACACATTCTTGTGTTACTATTGTTGAGTCTGTCGTGTTAATATCAAATTACTAACAGTTTTTGAATAATTATTAACAGCGCGTCAATCCGAAATAACATCGCTCTACATATGTCCTTGTCTCGTTGCCGCCAGAAAGAAATAAATAAACGCACGTACTAAGCCGAACTGTATTTGCAGAGGAAATGCCTGAATCATAAAGTAAGTCCGTCGCTCTACCTCAGCTGCTTACGGTGTGGCGTGATTCGGGATAGTGCCATTCTTGTCAATATACTTATAGTTTCAGTTTGTACGGCATTTCATAGAGCTGATCAGTAACTTCTCGAAGACACGCAAGTTAAATTACCAATACCGCTTACATCTTTCCGTACCACATCGATGAAAAAGATACTCAAACATCGGAATCGATATTGAGGCACTCGTGACAAATCGTAGATTAAACTTGTCATTGTGCCTAGCCCAAAGGCGTTGTCTCAGATCGAGAAACACGGAAGTGAACACTACAGTTTTCTTTCCTTAGCCATTATCGGTACGATTTAAATTCGCTAGATGCGACATATTTTTTATGTCTTTTACTTGCCTTCTTAAAGTAAATAAATCTTTTCCTTCAGACGCCCTATGTAAGGTTTTCAGTGATCTAAATACTGATCGGTAGCGAGAGCAGTTTGTCATACATCAGTGAACTCGATTAATGCCGCTCTCTTGATCCCACAAAACTTCAGCACAAACACATTTGCAGCTTTGAAAATTTCATACGAAAAAAAAAAGCTACTCCTCGCAAAGGAAAGCGTGTCAAGTGTGGCTGATCGAGATGATCATGAATAAGAAGCAGAAGATTCTGGGTAGCATTAGTCTATTTTTTAATCTTACCTTTGATTCTGAAGCTCACAGGATTCAGCTGAGTGAACTGCACCAGTACAGGAACACATCTGACGATAAAAAACAAAACACCTTTACTTTTTCGAACCGTTGCGAAGCATTGACAGATCCACACTCACTACGATCTCCTATAGCATACTGAAAGTCACTGGTAGCCTTCATCCGGTTTCGATTTCACTCTCCCCAAGCTCGCGCAACAAAAAATGTCACGTCAAGTCGAGAGCCTCCCAGCATCTGTTTTCGGGGAACAATTTGAACCTCTGTGTATCAAACCGTTTTTTCCTATGGTGGCTTTAAAGGGACACACACTTTCTTCTCTCTTTTTTTTTTACTTAATTGCGACTTGGTTGCTACTTTCTTGCGACTTAGCTGCGACTTTCTTGCTACTTTCTTGCGACTTAGCTGCGACTTTCTTGCTACTTTCTTGCGACTTAGCTGCGACTTTCCTGCTACTTTCTTGCGACTTAGCTGCGACTTTCCTGCTACTTTCTTGCGACTTAGCTGCGACTTTCCTGCTACTTTCTTGCGACTTAGCTGCCTGGTGCATCAGCCGGCCAGGTTGTTTTATTTGAAAACAACGTAGACTCCTATNCCAGCGATGTAGAGCACACCGAAATGAAAGTGAAAACGGCGAAAAACTTCATAGCTATACTGTAAAGCCAAGGCAAAACAGACTACCTATTGTTTATAGGAGTCTACGTTGTTTTCAAATAAAACAACCTGGCCGGCTGATGCACCAGGCAGCTAAGTCGCAAGAAAGTAGCAGGAAAGTCGCAGCTAAGTCGCAAGAAAGTAACAAGAAAGTCGCAGCTAAGTCGCAAGAAAGTAGCAAGAAAGTCGCAGCTAAGTCGCAAGAAAGTAGCAGCTAAGTCGCAAGTGGAAAAAAAAAAAAGGAAAGTGTATGTCCCTTTGAAGCCACCGTATTTTCCATGAGGGAAGTAATTGGGAAAAGTGAAAAACTGCGAGTCTCAGTACTACAAAATGCACATTCAGTCTGACGTCTCAGAGCCTCTAATAGTTTCCATTTTACTATAGTAATGGTTTTTCACACAAATAACTGACATGCTGTGTATCATTCCTCAAGGCTACACATTATCAGAGGACAAAATAACTACTAGTATCCGCAACCCACAACTGGGCTCTCAGCGAGTTAAACGATGGTGGGCACGATTTGTTATCGATGCATATAATTGTTTCCAATAAATCAATAAAGGTAAGCATTCGAATGGTGAGGCAAAAATTACGAAATTTGTTTCGATAATGGGTGGTTACAGTTTTTATAAACTAATTAAAACATTTACCAGAAACTTCAACTACAGATTATATGGAGATCGTTACCCGCTTTACTATGCGAGGTGTGAATAAGAGTAACTTCCCAACATGGCGGGAAATCTAAAAAATACTCTGAAAAATTAATTATTATTTGTCACGGAGATAGGTTCTCTCAGTCCATAATCTCTTGATGTTTAAGGCTGGTTTTCACTTGCGACGGAGTCGTAGTCGGAGTTGTAATCAGAAGCGTTGAAAATCAAACCGACGGAGTCGGAAGCAGAACACCGCCGATTCTGCCTATGACTCCGTCGCTTACGATCTAGTGAAAACTGCATTGTCGGAGTCGGAAGCGGAAGTGGAAGAATAAACCGATCACAATGCTCGATTCCATCTTTCCAAAATGCACAAATAGGTTAGCATACTCTTCCTAAGCTGCTCGACGTCGATAGATATCACGAAACCAAAATATTTTTTCTTTTTCGAACGACATTGTCCCTGTATTGTCTCTGCCTGCGCAAAATATTGATTAATAAGAGCCAAAGTTGTTCTTCGTCCGCCATGTCGTCTTTGGTGCCAAAATTTGTACTTTCGCGGGCCTGAAATTGAGCATTGTGATTGGTTTATTCTTCCGCTTCCGGCATTGCGGTTTTCACTAGAGCGTAAGCGACGGAGTCATAAGCGGAATCGGAAGAAAATGGAAACGTTATGACTCTTCCGACTCCGATTCCGTCGAGCTTATGACTCCCGCTTACGACTCCGTTTTTCGATTTTCCCTGGGTCATAAGCGCTCTTACGACTCCGACTATGACTTCGACTCCGTCGCTAATGAAAACCAGCCTTTAGTTCTTATTAACCGAGAAGGAGGCCCACGGTATGGGAGAATCTTGACCGAGGTCGCCAGTACAGACCAAACGCAGTGAGGTCTGCACCAGCGACCGAGGAAGTCACCTTTCATTTTTTGTTTCATTCACCCATTTAAGCCATGTTGAAACAGAGCTTTGTTATTTATCTATTTGCTCACTATTTGAAATGAGCAAAATGTTGTTGAATCTCAAATTTTAAAACAAGTTCCAAGCCTTTGGAGTAGCTGTAACTCAAGCTGACTTGACTCAAGAGTTCTATATCACACAACGGTTGATTGACAAATGGTCCTGTGGGACCTAAGGCTCCTTTTATAGCGCGCCTTCGTGTTTAAACGGCTCTTTTGTATTTCGTGCTCGAATTACCTCTCCAATCCCCGCTTGGATCTCAGTGAAAGAGACAACTTGTTCACTTCAACATTTTTATGGTGTCAGGAAGTGACGTTATTCCCGGCATTTCACAACGTTCGTTCTGGGCATACGCATGTTTAGGTTTAACGTTTTTCGAGTTAAGAGCGTGTCCACAAGAAAACCGGGCAGGGGGCGATAAACCTCAAATCACCGATTCGGCTCAAACTTGGCACAAATGCTAAGTAGCACGAGTTAACAAATGTGTGAAAATAATTGGTCAAAATATTAAATTCCCTGGGAGATATAGGGTTCCCCTGGGAAAACCCCCATTTCCTTTATTTTTTTTTTTGCATAATTAATTAGCTAACTCCAATCCCCGCTTGATTCTCATCGAAAGAGACAACTTGTTCGCTTCCATATATTTATGGCGTCAGGAAGTCACGTTATTCCCGGCATTTCACAACGTTCGTTCTGGGTATACGCATGTTTAGGTTAACGTTTTTCGAGTTAAGGCCCGTTTCAACGGTTTCAACAATTGCTTCAATAGGCATTCAACACTTTGTTGAAACAAATGTTTGATACGTTTAAACAGGTCGTCCAACATTGTTGAAAACGTAAAAAATGTTGAAAGCTTGTTTAAAGCGTGTCGAATCAAGTTTAAAGCGATTTAACCTTTCGTTCAACATCGCTTCAACTTTTTCTTTGTAAGGCCTTTGTGAGGCCTTTGAAAGGCCTCCGAACAACTTTGTTTTTGCGTCCAACATTTGCCCAACATGCGTTCAACTTTTGTTGATCGAATGTTGGTGAAATGGGCCTTTACACGTTAGGCCTACCTCTGGGCGAAACCATTTTCTATGTTCCACGCGCAATTGTTTTCAAATTCTATTGACAAGTGAAAGGGCGAGATATTTTTGCAAGACGGTAATTTCTTTTAGTTAGAACTTTCATACCGCATGCTTTGTCGGAATCAGAAAACTTAAGCTATTCCACCCACGCGCACTCATGCATTAGTCCTGACTAGATTTATGAATAAAGGGTGAAAGTTTCTAAAGAAACTGTGGGGCTGCCGGCGGAGGTAACAAGGTAATTTGGAATATTGACTAAGTTGAAATTGTAAATTGGCCACCGTAACGAGTTACAAAGCTGACGTTTCGAGCGTTAGCCTTTCGTCAGAGTTGATACAATTAACCAAATTACCCGACTAGATTTGATCACTTCTACTTCTGGGCGAAACGATATGGGCAAAACTCGTTATGGGCGAACCTCGCTATATTCGAAATCTTCCCTATCTAACTTAACTAAAATAAATATCTATTTCAATTTTTTTTCAAACGGACGAAAGATAGTTATGAATTTTTATCACAGTTACCAGAACTAAAATCTCTGTTTCTGCAGAGCCCAATACCTTTTAAGTGAGATAACGTCGAGTTGAAGCCGGAGTCGCTCAGACCAAGCAACTGGACACGTGTTTTCTTGTTTCGATTGAAATTTTGCGGCTAGTTCGGCTTTCTGAAGAACTTTTGAGCAATAATTTCTAAAGGAACGCTCACCTGTTTTAGTAACACACAATTGCTTTCCACTGCTCTTCTATACGAGTTCTTCGTCTTCTTTCATCCATATTTTCGGTATCAAGAACGCTAGGTCTTCACTCTACAGAGGACAGCGTGGTATGCTGAAAATTCTACAGCATCTGATGAATATGGATTAACAACTCCAGCCAATAATTGACTTCACGGCACATATCACAAATCGCAGTTTTGTTTTCCACGCTCAGTTAGCTAATTAAGTATCAGAGGGAAAGAAACGCATTATGCGTGATTTATTTGCATGTGAAAATAAGGAAAAATAACAGCAACTTCTCCGTAGAAACTACTCTTTAACCAGTAAAGAGCTAAGAAACTTATGAAAACATTAAAAAATGAATCGTCAGCGAGCACTCCGTGTCTCAAACGCTTGGAACTTGTTTTGAAATTTGAGATTCAACAACATTTTGCTCATTTCAAAAAGTGAGCTAATAGGTGGTTTGCACGTTACGTCATGGCGGCCATGTTGGTGGACGTAAACAATGAGTATCTCTTTAGCTTCTTTTGTTCGTCCAGCAGCATTTGTTCCTTTCACCATTGTTACCTGTATCTCTAGAGATTGGTTGCAAACCACCTATAGATAAATAACAAAGCTCTGTTTCAACAAGGCTTAAGGAGGCAGTTAACCCTAAAATTCGAAAAAAATGTAAAATTCGGTCAAACTTGAAAAGAAGCCTAAGAAGGAAGTTCATAATACTGGCTTTTTAGTTCCGAGAGCGTATTACAATATTTTTGAAGATCCCGCCTAAAAATTGATTTTTTAATCAATGGAACTCATTAAAAACGGCCTTAGTTACCATTGTTTACAGTTTGTTGATTTTGGTTGCTATGGGGTTTACAGATTTGGGTTTTTCGAGAAACGATCCAAATTTGTTCTCCCTGAACGGGCAAAGGTCAGTTACATACACAACACGTTCATAATGTCAGCAAATGTGTTTACTATCAGCGAAGAAAGTAAATTCCTACAAAGGAGCGAAAAAATAAGTTACAATACAGAAAAAACTACTTTAAGGCGACTGCATAATGAAATAAAATAAAAAAAAAAGACGATGAAAACAAAACTGCTTACCAAATGCTGAGAAAGATAGGGTTGTTGGTCAGGGCCACCGAAGAAGAAACCTACTTCGAGGAATGATGTGACACTAATAGCTCAGTACAAAAAACTGGCAATAAATAAGGGCGAGGTAATAAAACTATAACGAAATTTACATACAGCAAATAACATAGGAGCGTAACTAACGAAATACCGGAGGGAACAGAAAAGAATACACGATAACAAGTAAGTGAGAAAATGAAAATAAAAAGAAGAAAAATTTGCCCCAACACTCCCGTAATCCGTAAGTCCTACAGTGCATGACTTAGTTCTAATTTTCCAGCCCAGAACCCTTTGCGCGTACTCCGGTCGATTTTCTTACCGAGTATCGCGAGCGAGTGCTGGAGTGTTTTAAATTTGTCAATGGAAGTCGAGGGAGAAACCAGTATTAAGAGAAAAGGGAAGTTTAGATCGAGTCGAAGGAAGAAAAGGAAAGGTTTTCACGGGAAAAAAGCCTGGAAAGTGCGAAGGGAAACTGAGGAAAATGGGAGAAAATTATGACACCAGCGTAGAATCACACGAGGAACCACAACCGAGCACGTCCAAAGCTCAAAGTGAGTACGATGACTTTCTAGACCGCACTGCGCCGAAAAATATGTCGGAGTTGAAACTTATGAACAGTTCTTTTGAAAAGTACGATCAACAAGAAGCAGTTACTACTCGTTCTCAAAGTAGTTCAGCAGAAATGTGTGTTCATGAGGAGGCACATAGCTACAAGATGCGCAGCTACTATCAGAGTGCTTTGCTGTTTCAGCTATTTGCAGCTCGTGCCGAAATTCAAAGTCAAAACTGCAGCTATTTCAAGATAGCGCAAGCAGAAATGGCCTGCTGAATTGATGTATTTGAAATGCTCGTATTGTGGTATCATAACTCCTCTGAATGTGTTGGCCATGTTCAGAAGAGATTAGGAACTGCCCTCAGAAATTACAAAAAATATATGAAGATGGCTTGCCTAAAGATGTCGGATGGAGGAAAGGTTGATGGAAGGGGTCGGCTAACTGACAGTTTTGTGGACAGAATGCAAAAATATTATGGAAGAGCCATACGTGAGAATGCAGGTGACTTACACCAAATGAAGAACAGTGTATGGGCAATCTATCATCACATGATAAAAGATGATTCATGTTCCCTAGAGGAGCAGCACAAGCTATGCCCCAAAGGTGAAGGTACCTGGTGCAAATTTTGGAAGGCTCCAGAAGAATATAAAGAGGACAAACGTCTTCCTTGTGTTTTTATTGATGAACTGAAGCCAATTTTCATTAGGCTTACTAATGATGATTTATTGAAGAGGTGTTTGCAGGGGCAAAGCCAGAATCGAAATGAGAGTGTTAATGGACAGTTGTGGTCAAGATGCCCCAAGAGCCGGTATTGTGGAAAGAGACGAGTTGTCATTGCAGTTTGTGAGACTGTTGGGGTGTTTAACACAGGAGCTGCAAGTAAAGCATCCCTTCTGGAATCCTGTGGAATCTCTCCTGCTCACAAGATCAGCTCAAAATATCGAAAGCAGCGACAGACCATTCAGTCTATGAAAAATTCAAAGGCTGACAAGTTGGCTTATCAGACTGGCGCATTTGGCACAAGTTCCAAACCAGAGACAGCTGGAAGAAAGAAAAAGAAAAATCCTCCCAAGCAAAAGAAATCAACAGTAGCTTTGCCTGCTCCATCTTCTTCAAGTGGATTTGACATTGTGTTTGTTGTCCCAGATGTGGAGTTTGTAGCTAAAGAAAGAACTGGGCAACAGTAACCTATTCAAACCAGTTTTTGCCCTATTTGGTTTAGAAAACATTCACTCATCAAATGTGGACATGCTAGACCACTTCTACCCATTAAGGCTATGCTTAGTGTTTTGTTTGAATCATTTTAGTGCTCTATCATTATGTGTTGAACTTTGTCTTGCATTTTCTTAAATTAGCAATTTTTTACACACCGAGTACTAAAACAGGCATAGTTGGTTTGCTATTCACCTATATTATACAAAATTTCCAGGCCTTGTTCCTGGAGTGATGTTCTATGCAATGAATTACAATTTTCTTAATTTGTCACTTTCGATCATTGTTGCTATGGAAACAAAGGTGCCAAGCCTTAAATGGCAAGGATTTTAAAGAAACATAAAGTTAGTAATTCATTGCACAGAGCAATGTGTTTTGATAATTTACAGCAATTTTTGAGTCAAATAATTGAATATTCTTTGAGAAATATATGTCTTAAGGCGCAACCTTCTCATTTGTTTATCAGAGTTTCTATGGAAATGACAGATTGTTGCAACATCAAAAGTAGATTTTATGATGCTGCTGTTGATGCAACTTCCATATGCCAAGTTTATTAAGTTTGGTCAATTCCATAATAAATTATGAATTTTTATCTGATTAGACTGATTTAGGGTTAACTGCCTCCTTAAATGCGCGAATGAAACAAAAAATGAAAATGAAAGGTGATTCCAACAAAAAAATCTTAAAAATAAGGACCACACTCTGTTATTTCCCCTCGAAGGGAAAATAGAAGGTTTAACGCGCAGTTCAATTCTGTTACAGTGGGAACGTAACAGTGAGTTTAGGTAGTTTTCACGCTACGTCTTTGCCGCCATGTTGATGGACGTAAACAATAAATATCTCATTAGCTTCTTTTGTTAGTCCATCAGCATTTGTTTCTTTCACCATTTTTACCTGTGTATCTAGAGATTGGTTGCAAATCACTTATAGGGCGCTGTGCAGGGAGAACATTAAGAGATGGGTTAAAACAACCGAAGGTCCAATCAGCGATCCCAACAAAAAATTTCGCGGCAGCCATAGCTGAATCCTCGACGTTCTAATCAACTAGTCTCCAATACCTCGCTGATAGGGATCCGAGATCTTAGTGCGGTATTACTACATCCCGTTCCTTTATTGAGTGGGATATTTGACCTTTTCGCCCCTCACTGCAGCAGGGCGATCCATGTCAGTCCGGCTGAAACAGCGAAATGTTTTCCCATCTTCTATTGAATTTTCAAGGTCAATTCATCAAATCAGAACCCGCACTGATTTGCGTTCAGCTTTTCCTGTTTGAACTTTTTTTCCTCTAAATATACTGAGATCTCCATTATCGTCTAGAAACAACGTTATCTTGAAGACAACCAGAGTTTTGATTGCTCAATAAATTTTTTTCACAAATTGTTCAAGATTACAAGATTTTAAAGAAATTTTGGAGATTCGTAGGATCGGGAGTATGATTTTGTATGGTTCTATAATATTTTACACCTTTTTAAGATTCAAACCGTAAAATTGTAATTTTAATATATTTTTCATTGATTGGTGACCTTAATCCAACCTGGTTAGCAGTGTTTCCATTTGCTTGTTTTCTCCACTGTACCAATGGGTCATTGGTCAACACGAAATAAAATGCTATAAACATGCGCAGTATTATCCTGAACATGACCGTAAATCTAACTTCAAGTGAAGATCAACTAATCTTGATATGAACATACGAAAAGAAACTCTTTATTATCAAATTGCAGAGTAACGATTGTTATTAAAAAGAGCGGTTACTTCGTGGAAACATGAGTAGGGGGAGATACACAGGCTGTTGAATTAAATAACGATTCCTTTTAA